TAGTTGGACTGACTCTATGGATGGATATTTGAAAACAATTGAGTTTTTCTAATTTTTCTTGAAATTTTCAAATGGAACGGTATATTTAAATGTTCAATCGATTTTTGAAGATGTTTTACACAGCTTTTCTTTATTATACCTTCCTACAAACGAATTCCAGAGAGTGTTAAATTTAATTTTATTAAAAATAATCAATATTTATGAAAAAGCCCTCGTAAATAATAACTTTGCTTTTCTCACAGTTGATTGTCATCATTGATGAATGTCAAATAATGGATAAAGTGCGTTAGGAAATTATAATAGTAACTATATTATGCAATGATCAATGATCATGTAATGATAGCAATTAATACACGAGCATGTTGTAGGATACGAAACTTGAAGAAGTGTGCCATCTATTAATAATTTTGGAAATTAAAATCTAGACGTCATTTCAGCATAAATTCGGAACCCGCGTACTGTGGATTTATTCATTTTTTATTCTGCTCTTTCTGTAAATACTAACAGAGATAATTATCCAAAACCAGTCTATTATTTTTTTTTAAAGCATTATCCATTTTCAAAATAATTAGATTTTAGTGGCTGCGATTGCTGCATTTCCATTACATTCATGCAGAACCTCAAGGATGTCCTGTACTTCTCCATTTCGGAAATGAATTTTGACTTTAGAAAATAGCGTTTGAAGTTTCAAAAATGTGTCAGCCTGACATACTTAACTGGTATCTGCTCAATTTACGAGGGCTTTTTCATAAATACTAATTATTTTTAATAAAATTAAGTTTAACACTCTCTGGAATTCGTTTGTAGGAAGGTATAATAAAGAAACACTATGTAAAACATCCTCAAAAATCGATTTAACATATCTTAAATATACCGTTCCATTTGAAAATTTTAAGAAAAATTGGAAACATTCAATTGTTTTCAAATATTGACCCATAGCGTCAGTCCTACTAACCAGAATTTGAATTTTTCACAACAAAGTTAAAGAACAGACTCTTCTCTTTCCAACGAACCTAAGATCGACCAGATTTGTTGAGTCGTTTTGAAGTTATCCGCTTTCTTGTGTTGCAATATTTGACAGCTCATAACTATCTTATCCGATAAGTTATGGTAAAAAGTCATGGATCAAAATTGTGTGAAATTTCATCAAAAATCTATTGCTAGCATTTTTGAGATACGTTTTCATTTGAAGTTTAAAAAATAAAACCATTTTTGTACTTGGACAGTTGGGTTACGCCCCCTTACGGTCATTTTAGAAAGCTGAAATATATTTCCAGCATTTTCTCTTGGCCATATTTATGTACAAGACTACGATGAATAGTTTTTGAGATATGGCCGAGTGCCATTCTTAATGAATCACCCTGTACATTTTTAGTAAAGTTGTCTCGTTAACAACTTGACGCCAAGTTAGCTAAGCACATGTTTTTTTTTTGCAAACACGATTAAAAGAAACGGTAAATTTTTAAACACCTATACTATTAGAAAAATATACTTACCTAATTAGGAAAATTAGGTGTAAAATGTAAAATATGTAAATTCTGTATCAAAAGCATATAGTTAAGTTGCCCTTGTAATTTGTGTGGAAGGAATTTGAAAAACTAAAGGGATGGTAATAGTACGTAGGTAGTCGAAAATTTGAAAACGAATAAAAGATCTTGGCCTCGGATCTAGGTACAGGGTCTGTTCCTTATAATTAGTGCGGCTTCTACAGCTTTAATAAAAAAATAAATAAAAAAAAAAAGTTAAATACAAAAGTTGTAGGGTTTTATCTCTATTATCTTTTGCAAATGTCAAAACGGGCAAATGACATGAGCCAACTGTCATAATGACAAACACTTGCATTTTTTTTAAATGGAACACCCTGTATATTTTTGGCTAGAATGATAAATTTGTTTCTTCTGATTCCAAATATACCATACATGTTGATATTTGGAGCAACTGTTTTTATGCTGTTTAAGTTTTAAAATGCATTCTCCTACTCGCGTGCTGTAAAGTACACTTTTCTGCACTCATTTGCGTGCCGTAGGAAGTACTTTACTGCACTCTTTTAATAGGTAATACGTTTGTAATTGTTCATATTTTTCATTGTACCGGTCCTGTGATTTTTGTGGAATCAAAGAGCCGACTGCTGCATTCGCTGCTTCGAATATTTTTTCATCGCAGGTCTCCATCTCTCAAGAATTAATTTTATACCAAAAAATGGAAAATTTGAACCACAAAACACGAATCTATCTGAACTTTCTACGTGGTATCAATGCAAAATGCAACACAGCAGATTTTGATAAATGCCACCAAGACCAAACGTTCAACCATATTTCTTGTCACAATAATTTTGACATAAAAATTATTAGTCAGTCACCAGTTGCAATTTATTTTTACTTTGATTTCCGATACCTTTCTTCTCAGTGCTGTAATTTTTTACCATACTGTATTAAAATATAAAAAAAAAACATGCAATTAATGTATTTGCCTTCGCGTAATGCATAAAATAGAAATATTTATTGTTTTTTACAATCAATGGTTGCTACTTTTTATGTATTTTTTCTTCTTATTAGATTTCTATTCCAAAAATTATGTGCTCCGAAGGAGAAATTTTGTACCTAACACGTAAGAAAAGTGATTTTACCGCACTCGACAGCTTGCCTAAACTCCGCTTCGCGTCGTTCGTGCAAACTGCCATCGCGCGCGGTAAAGAACTTCCGCACTTGTTAGGTAAATAACTATTACATTAGCCTGAATTAGGTCTGTCCCGGTTATTTATATCAATGATGAGGCTTGCTCAATGCAATTTTAAAATTAAATAGCGCAAAAACAGCTAAACCAAATGTCAACATACAGTGTGTCCCGCTTAAGGACTGACCACCCTTCAAATTTTTTTATTTTTCAAACGATTTTTTTTTTGTTCTTGTCATAATCTACTCGAATTTGGTACTTATTCGGCTCATAATTTTATTTCTGCGGCTGTTCTGGTGTACAGGGTGTCCACATTTATGGGCCCAAATTTCAATAACTATTATTAGGGATTTTTTTAGAAAAAATCTGACAGCGAATTCTTATTTAGAATGGTCTAAAAACCAAATGTACTAATTTTTGTTTCAATACGATACAAGGTGATCACAACAAATTCTCAAACCGCAAAAATGTAATTTTGTTACATTTGCAAAAGATAATAGCAAAGTCTATAATAGAGATAAAACCCTACAACTTTTGTATCTAACTTTTTTCTTAATTTTTATTTTTTTTTGTTTAAGCTGTAGAAGCCGCACTAATTATAAAGAACAGACCATCTACATACAGGGTGTTTCTGCGGAAAATGGATAATTTTTTTAATGCTCTCCGCTAGTTGTTTTCTGTCCGTCAAAAAAACAATTTTCACGCTTTTAGATGGACAAGAAGAAAAAAAATTGACCAAGGTAACCAGGAAGTTCTCATCTTCATTTTAAAAGCTATACCTACCTAGAAAAACTAAAGATTTATATTAAAGAGGACCCAGCTCTCAGAATTGTTTTTTTTTAAAAGACAACTTTTACTTCAACAGTGATAGATGTGGAGCCTACATCTGAAATTTTACAAATGTTTTTCAAACGCATTGGCCCTTGGTTTGGCCCTATAATTCAATTTCTTATTTTCTACAATTTCGTGCATGGTCGGTCCCTCGGTCGGTCCTCATTAGACAGTAAAGTAGTCAAATTTCAGAAAAATACCTAATTGAGCAGCAAAATGCGTTCAGAAGCTTTTAAATATTTTTGAGTGCTCAAATAAGGATTCCAAGTCGGTATTATTTAACACTTCACACCTTTACTACATACTTTGATGAAATAATTTGAACTAATTGAGGTTGAAAATTTCATTTAGCAACTACTGCTATTATAATCCATCATAAATATATTTTTAAGAAAAAGTTTTTACGGGTAAGATTTTTATTTTTGCTGGTTGAATTATTCGTTTTAAATTTTTTTTATGAATATGTGGTATAGCTGGGCACCTAAACACAATTTTATTTATTTACTTCTTATGGTTCAAAAAAATAAAAATTATTTCAAATTCCAATTAATCTGTTTACAATTTTAGACAAAAGTTGGGTAGGTACCTATACATGAAAAATAAACTGAAGTTACCTACTAAGAAATACATAGGTATTATTAGGAATAGGTATCTATTCCATGTTTTATGAAAAACTTACTTAGATAATGTATAACAAATGAACAGTGTTTTTTATACAATAAGTTAGAAGTAGGTATTTCAAATGGAACAGAACACGTACAATGTCTTTCAAATTTGTCTGTTCCTGTATGTCCTTTCTGGATCACCGTTTTTAATGCATAGGGCGCCTTGACATACCTTATTTTTAATGTAATCAGCTCAAAATAGGTAAAATTGAAATCATCGTGACCCGCCCTAGAACTTTCAAACATGTATTCAATAGGTATAAGTATCAAATTTCAAAAAAAATAATGTTTCTAGCCTTAGAATCTTTGAAAATATCATGCCCGCTTCTGCTTTGAAGGAAAAAACGTAACCATTAACTGGCAACATTGCAAAAACCATAAAGAATTTGAGAGAAGAGTACGTTATTTTTTTCTTCTCCGCTGGAAACATCAACTAAAATATTACATACCAAAATGCCAGAAATGTACACTTAACTATTTAAATACATTAGTATAGAAAAGGGAAAAAATTAAATTACCCTAGAATATAGAGACGGTAAATTTTGGTTTGTTTACATTTTGCTTTCAAAGATAGGTAGACAATTTCTTTTTGGGTTTAAATTTATAAAGAATCGTCAAGTCTCCAAAGTCAGACCATGAATTAATGCAACTATTTTTATTGTCAAAGATATTGTTTCTGTGTTTAATATCGAGTTTTAAAACACCCTATTCGTTCTACTTGCTATTAGTTACCTACATACAAATTTTGGGTTAAAATTTGAAGACATGTAGGTACTAGCAAAGTCTGTACTAGATTCATATTACTAATATTTTTACTAAAACAATATTTACCCTGTAAAACTAGCAGTGCCCTGTACATAAACAAAAACATTCTCCTTGGAGATCATAGAAGATCACTGATGAGGCAACTGAAAATCACAGGAACCAGGCGGCATTTTTCGAGGGACCATATTTTAATTTTAAATACACAGCACTGTTTCACTTTTACCGTAATATATGGTATAATAATTTATAAAGTAAAAAGTCAACACGCGTTTATAGGATACCTATATCTACGTTTTCTCAATAAAGTATAAAAAACGCTTTAAGGTGAAGACGCAATGTTAACCGTCTACGAGATTCTTTCATACTAAACTTAATGAGAACCGTTGACCAGCCGAGAGCCGAGCCGTACTGTAGTACTCTTAAAAATGTTGGTTGTGTCCTTCCATTCGTTCATTGTATTTGTGCCCTGAGTCTAAGCGTAGGTACGACTTGGACCGACTACCTCCGAGAATAAGCTGTGCTCCGAGTCTAGACCACCCACATCTTATATGTAAATTCTCAAAATTACATTAGTTAAGTTCTTTTTGTCACCATTTACGGTATATTATATTACCCACAGAGATGAGGAGAGTACCTACCCTTGAAATACCAATTTGCTCCGCACCCACCTAGACACATACCTATATTTGTTTTTTTTTTTTAAATATATGCAGATACATAGCTACCTACGTTGAATAGATGCCAATAGTTATCTTGATCCGCAAACCATAAAAAAGTACAGCATAACTGTCTAGAAAAAAATATATTGTCCCTTTGATTCTGATTACATCGTTTATGGATTTTGATTAAAATTTTATTTGCTTAAAAACCCTTAGACATATCCCGCTCAACAAATTAAACACAAATAAACATCAAAGTTTATTGAATTAAAATGAGAAATTTAATAAGGCGCGATAATAAAAAATATCTAATTATGAATACACATGATAACAAACCATAATAGAAATGTTATAATAAGAAAAATTGAACAAACAATAACTGGTTTATTTATAATAACACATTTTTTTCTGATAGAAATAAAAAGTGTGGGCTCATTTCTCGATTTCGAGAAACACTTAATTGGAAAGTTTTCTCTTTCGATTTTATGCCAGATTACATCAAACTTGGAAAATATCGTGTGCTTTATTATTCCCATTGGAAATTAATTTTTTTTAATGCAAAATGCACCAAATTTTTATGCATTTCCAAACTGTAGGTACTTGTTGATAATCGACAATTATTTTTCTCCCACCGATTTTTTTCATTTATTGCTCATTAGGCGACGTCGACGCCGACGCCAGGGCTTTCCGCACAATGCATTTTTGTAACATTATAAAATATGAACTTCGTTGACCAGTCAGAAACAACTACTCCGAGGGCAAATACCCCTACCGGCGTTGAACTACACTGATTGGTCTGAGCTTTCATTGGCAATGAAAATTGTTAGAAAGATTTTTTTCAGGTAATGACCAACGTGAATACAGGAACACAACGGTCCCTGTTTGGGAATCGACCCACTGAGCAGTGGACCCAGACTTCCCGTGCCAATCCTTGACGCGTTTCGTCCTTGTTAGGACTCATCAGAAGGACATAGGCTGAAGCTCCCTGTCCAAGCAAAATTGAACTTCGTTGACCAGTCAGAAACAACTACTCCGAGGGCAAATACCCCTACCGGCGTTGAACTACACTGATTGGTCTGAGCTTTCGTTGGCAATGAAAATTGTTAGAAAGATTTTTTTTCAGGTAATGACCAACGTGAATACAGGAACACAACGGTCCCTGTTTGGGAATCGACCCACTGAGCAGTGGACCCAGACTTCCCGTGCCAATCCTTGACGCGTTTCGTCCTTGTTGGGACTCATCAGAAGGACATAGGCTGAAGCTCCCTGTCCAAGCAAAATTGAACTTCGTTGACCAGTCAGAAACAATTTTCAAATATCTCAGAAACTGAAGCTCTGGCAGCATTAAACCATATAACAAAACTTTTGGGCCATATTCATAGAAATTTAAATCTGGAAACGCCATGTCTGTAGTTACTTTAGTTTTAAAGTTACAATTTTTTAAAATATTGCATTTCCTTTCCTTCACCTTACCCATCCACCACATTATCCAAAACTAATCGGGTTCATCATGACATGCAATATTTGTACCAAATTCGGTTGAAATCCGTTAAGGCTTTCTTAAGTTATCGTCTCTATATACAGACAGACAGATAGACAGTGAGTCCGAAACACATCTTTTTTTTTTGTCATCGATTAAGGTGTTTTGGGACCCAAACATCATAATTTTGATAAAATTATCAAAAGTGATAATTATACGATTTCAATTAATTAGTCCTCAATATCCTATGGATATTGTGGACTAAAACTTAATCCGGAAAGCAGAAGAAAAACAGGGCATCACAGAAAATTCCAGAAAAACAAATATTGGGTGATTTGAATTGAAGTTCAAATATCTGTTTGTGTGTGCTGGTTTTCTGTACATTGTAGTTTCAAATTTGTCTATCTCTTTTTTTATTGATATGTCTAAGAAAGATAGTTGGTTATTTAGTTCTTTTTCTATTGTAAATTGTATAGTGGTTTCTTGTGTGTTTATGTGTTGAAGAAAGTTAGGTAAGGTCGTTTTCACTGTGAGTGTGAATTGAAAATATGTCGTCTATGTAACGCCACCTAATATTGGGTTTTAAATTATAATTTCCAATGTTATTAATTTCGAAATAAAAATATTATTTGATAAAGGTGATAAAGGTGAACCCATTGTTGGTAATATTTGTCATTGTATTGAAAGTATGTTGTTTTAACACAAAATGTTAGTAATTCTAAAATAGTATAGTATAAAATAAACTACTCAACAATAGGTTCGTTCCAAGCATAAATTTCACCAGATTTTGAGACGCGACAACTTTTCAATAAATTAACGGAAAAATATGCCGTTTTCACCATTTTTGGAAGCGATTCCTTGTTAATCATCTGCTTTAGACAATAAAATATAGAATTTGAGTGTTTTTTTATACAGGGTGATATAGGAAGTGCGTTAAAAATTCGAAATTTTTGTTGCCACCCCATTTCTACAATTATTTTTATTTATTTTTTCTAGACATACCCGAATGATTATTATGTTCATCCCTCGAACCGTATTTGAATAATTTTTTCCTATATCGTTTTTTGTTTATAAAATAAAATGCAAATTTAGTGTTATAATGACACCCAGAGCTTCCAACCCATCGTGAACAAGTTCAAGCAGTAACTTAGGATCCGCTAGTTTAAATTTACTTGCTATGATCACAATTAAATCTAACTGACGTAAAAAAGCTTTAAACAAAACATACAGGGTGTGCGAGGATACTTTAAACTTAAAATTTCTAGTTTTGCATAATTTTGCCATTTTCTACAGAAAAGAAAGTGTCAAGACCGAAAAATAAATTTTGAGTTACTTTGAAGGCTTTATATCTGCAATGTAATTCCAAAAAACTATTTCTTCTTTGTCATCCATTTTTTTCAGTAAGTTACGTCATAAGTTGTAAACCTATAAAACAATTGTCTTCTCAATTTCTTTTGGAATTACATTGCAGAAGGGATATAAAGCGTTCAAAGTAGCTCAAGATTTATTTTCCGAAAAGGCCAGCAACAAATTCAAGCGCGCGAAATTTATTCTTTGTCGCCGAGTTCAAAGTAGGACCATGATAGACGACGTTACGGCAAATATTTCCGAGATAACGGAAGGGTGTGATCAAATTGCATGGAAGGTGAATAATAAATCCTATGGGCTTTTGTGGAGGCAAAACTAATACACCTATCATATTTAATATAAATTGAAAAATATACAGTTATAATAATAGTTTTATAATTTACATTGTGCTTTTTATTTAACAAATAAGAATGTGAAGAATGAAATGTGCGGAAACACAAAAATATATTACGAAGATAATAAAATGTACCTACAAATACAGCAAAATAGATACTTGAGATGTTTATACCAAAAAAAAGTGAGGTGGCGTAGTTACGAGGGTGGGAGAGATGATGTTTATTACATAAAGAACGTCCAGAAAACCTAGAAAAATAATAAAAAGGAAAAGTGTTAATTTCACACATTGGTGAGATTGCTCATCAAAACCTCGGACACATCGATTTTTGATTTCAGTTGCCGTTTTTCTGATGGTAATATCATGTATACAGGGTGACCCAGAAACAAGTTGTGACAGCTAACTTTATTTTTTTAAATGAAAACATTAATTTTTTATTTAATTTCTTATTTCTACGTTATATTCTGAACTTATTTTATGTATCATGACCTATACCTATCTTTAACTGTTTCGGAAATAATAACAGTTGAAAATTTACTTTTTTGCAACTTTGACAGGCTGTAAAACCTAAACGGTTGATTTTAGAGCTAAACCAATCATACATTCTTGTCTTAGTTTTCCATGAACTATCATTTAACACCAACTTTGGACTTTACCGGAATTTTTAATCTTGGATTAATTTCCAAGCTGTTGTCAAAATGACAGTTTATGGAAAAATTAAACAAGAATCTATGATCGGCTTTGCTCTAAAATAAACCGTTCAGGTTTTACAGCCTGTCAAAGTTGCAAAAAAGTCAATTTTCAACTGTCAGATTTCCGAAACAGTTGAAGATAGGTATAGGACATGAGGCATATAATATGTTCAGAATTTAACGTAGAATTTTAAAATAGAATAAGAAATCGGTGTCATTTGAAAAAATAAAGTTAGCTGTCATAACTTCTTTGTGGGTCACCCTGTATACATATTATCATATATAATATCACAAGAGAAAAAATTTTGTCGGCAAAATTTTCGAAAGGTATGAAAGCTTGTTGCTTGGCAATTTCGCGAATGACATTTTTGACCAAATCACGAGCCGTCAGGCAAGTGATTTTATGAAAAATTTCATGAGCGAAATTGCCGAAAACCAACAATCTTGAATAAAACCTTGAGAACAATTTTGCCTACACAATTTTTTCTCGAGTGGTATTCGTCATGACTATTTCACGTAAGATTTTGAAAATAAATAGAATGCAAAAATATGAATAAAAACTTCAAATTAAAAATATCAGTTTGACAATGTCAAAAAATGGTCGCTGAAATACCACGTTGTTGGTATTGTCCAGGTAGCAATATTGGGTCCTATGATTGAATGTTTACGTTAAAATTAACACAAATCTGTTATGTTATGCTAACAGGGAAAGATAACATATAAAATAACAGTGGATGTTATATCGGTATGATTGACGAAATCGATAACAGAAGATGTTAAGCTGGCTGTTAGGAACGGAAGAAAGTATTTGTACCTAGCTTCACTTCGTTTTCAGAAGTAACGTTTTTCTTGAAATAACAATAACAAACAATTAAATTACATTTTTTTGCAGCTCATTTTACATTTTATT